GGGGGGGGGGGGGGAGGGATGCATATCCCAAAGGTTGGTGACGTGGTGTGGTTGCGCGGGAATGGCGATAGGGGGGCGCTACTCACGCGTAAGCGCCCACGCCCATCAAGCCCCGGGTTGATCCCCCCGGGGCCTGGACGGTAGTAAGAGCCGGGCCGGCGTTCATGGCCGACCCAAGGAACAAGATGCCGTGCTTGATGGACGCGTCACGGACCACGTCGGAGACCCTACACAAAAGGCAAGCACGCAAGCACGCAAGCACGCACATGCGCGAAAAAAAAAAACGAACATCCAAAAAAAGAGTAAAACGAAAGGTAAAGACAGTCAAAGTTCGGCCAAAGGTATCAGGGTACATGCCATCGACACATACGACGTGGAAAGGTGCACACGAGAAAGGTACAGACAAAAGGTAGATGGAAACGCTCTTACAAAAAAGTAAGTAATCAAGGGACATACAATCGACATGAGTGTGAAAAGGTACATCAGAGAGAGATAAAGGTTCCAAAAAGAAAAGACGAGACATACATATGCAAAAAATCGACGAAAAAGGTGAACACCCGACGACTGCCGAGCAATAAACTTCCAAGTCAGCGCACGTCCTACCACGTGGCGCCTACACGTTCCACTGGTGTGTGTGACGTTCTCACCATACCACGTGCCTGTTGTCATGTTGTCGTATGGTGCAAAAGAAATGATGGACACGTGTAGCACACCACGTGTGTCCGGCGACGATTGGCTCACAGCGGCACACCACTGTCGCATAGGCGGCATTGTCTCATGTACCGTAAGGTTGAGAGTCAGCGCACAGGGGTGCGATCGATATTCAAAGCGTAATTTCTCCACAACCAGGAGGTTGGTTACCACTGTCGAAAGGGGTGGTTTTGGAAATATCTCATCGAGAGCTTTCCTGACAAGCATCAGTTGGGGCTCGCACCCTCCTGGTTGTGGAGAAATTGCGCTTTGAAAATCCATCGCACCCCCTTAGCGCTAACTCGCAACCTTACGGTACTCTATATCTACGACACCGTGAATTCTGAAATATTCATGGTGGGCCGCAAAAACCACGTGCTAGAGCGAACTCAACCTTGGCACGAATTGGCATACGGCACAAAGTGGCCCATCACTCGTTCGGAAGAGCAAACATCGAACTCTTCATCGTCTTCATCTTCCCCGACGGCTACGGTACATTGAGGCGCCACACAGACGTTCCATATTGGCCCATTACTACCCACCGTGCGTGCTGTTTGGGTGCTCAACAACTCTTCAAGTACACCAACCGTACCACCCTATTCTAGGATACCACAACGCCAAAAAGAAGGAAAAATAACAGCAAGCACTAATACCGAAATTCCTACTTCTACAAGTACTACTTATGTAAATAACGCCGAGTCCTTGTGTCTCGTGTCTCGTCTCTCACCTCCCACTGTCGCACAGGGCCGCCGCCTCCCCGTAGCTCATGTTGATGACGTCACACCCCATCCTCACGGCCTCGGTCACCGCGCGCACGACGCCGACGCCGGTCTCCATCGAACCCAGACGAGAGTCCCCGATCTAACGTCACATCACCGAAAAACGACATGTAAAAAAAAAACACACGACAAAAGAAAAAAAGACGGGAAAGAATCATGACGGGGTAGGGAGGAGAATCGTCATATGGGTTCAAGCAAGCCACGTGCAAAGTTAGGCAAGCACAGGCTAAGCGGTGAGTCAAACATATACCGAAAGCACAACCACCAACACCACCGACAACAACAACAACAACAACAACAACAAATATGAGAGCGACAGGTGCTTACCTTGAGGGAGACGATCTGTGCCCCCGGCGCCACTCCGTTAGCTTCAGGGTCCTCCGGGTAGTAGGCGGCCACGATACCTCACGAGTGAGAGGAGAAGTTCAAAAGCAACAACAACAAGAGGGAAAAACGAAACAACCAACACCACCATTGACAGAAAGAATTTTACGTGGCGGCCACGATCCCTTCAGGGGTTCCAAAACAACAGAAAAACAAGCAACAGACACCATTATTGACACAGCATGAAGCACTTCGCGGCCAAGGTTCCAACAAACCACCCAAGCCACACGCGCACGCCCGCAAGCACACACGCACCTGTGAGCTGGTACAAGAAAAAAACGCGGAGAACAACAGCAGTAGAGACAAGAGGAACCACACACAAGAGAGATTGCAGAGAGAGAGAGAACGAGGCCGGCCGCCACCAGAAACGCGACAACAAATGCACCTGCCTACGCATCCCAAAACGTCAACCAACGCTTTCCTTCCCCGACCATGGATGGCACCAAAATACGCCGACACGGCCGGGAGGCGTATAGGCGTCACCTGCTACGTGAGTCCCGTGCGCCCCGGCGTCGACGACGATGGACAGAACGTTCCCGTCGTCGTACACGTGCACGCCGAAGTTGAGGCAGGCCACGTCGCTGAAACGACCGTGCTGCCGCAGCTGCACGGGAGGAAGACAAGGCAAGCAAAGAAGAAAGCACGGAGAAGGTCGTGCGCGTGTACATGCAGAGAGCAGTGATAGTTCCCACAAACCCCGAACACACCGTCGGTATGTCTGATGGTCGTCGACACGGGGAGGAGAAGAAAAATATACAAGTACGTGAATACATAAGTTTATTGGTGGCGTCTATTTGGGGGAGTAAGCGACAACGACAACAACAGCAACGACGTCAATGACGAAACCATGACGACGAACAACGCGTCGGAAAGTAGATCTAGAAGCAGGTTCTGTTGACTCGCGTGCGGCATACGGTACCTCGTCGAAGCCGTCCGCCATGGCCAAGCACAACACTTTTAAACACCAACTGTAGAATAACTGCTGCAGCAACAACCTCTTTGACTCTTGTGCGGCAGACCTCAATCGTGGCTGAGACGAACACTGTTTAACACCAAAAACCCTCTACATAGCAGCAGCATCAGCAGAAGCAGAAGCAGCAGCAGCAAACCCTCCGTCTCGCGGCGGCACACATGGGCACCTTGTCGAAGTCCGTCATGGCGACGGCTTGAGTAAGATCCCCGTCCTCCTTGGTGTCCACCGCCGCCCACCACCTCTCCTCCTCCCCGCCGCCCTCAACACCGCCTCCTCCTTTCCACACAACGCAGTCGTGCAGCGGCCCAGGGTCGTCAAGGCTGGCCTTGCTCTCCTCCAGGTGCGCCGCCCTCGCCTCAAGGTCCTGGAAAAAAAAAAAAAACATAATCATAAATAAGTACAGAATAAAAAGAGAAAAAATAGAAGTACACACAAAAATGAATTTGGCGGCAAACAAAAAAAACAAGGGGCAGCTCCTCCAGGCACGCCACCCTCGCATCTAGGTCCTAGAAAAGCAAAAAATTGGTAAGAAAAAAAAGCAGAAACATAAGTCAAGCTGTGACGCCCGCGCCTCTAGGTCCTGGGAAATATAGAAATAAATGAAAAAACGGGCAGCACGAGAACAGGAAATGCACACGAGCTCTGCCGGAAGGGTTAAGCGGGCTTCGCTCGCATGGACACCCTGTATTCCGCTCGCGTGTCTCAATGATCATCAATGATCAATGATCAATGATCGATGATCGATGATCGATGATCAATGATCAATGACCAATGATCAATGATCAATGATCAATGATCAATGATCAATGAGTATTCGGAGTTTGTGACGACCACGCATCGGAGCTAGCTCACGGCCGGCATGAATGCTAGTAGTGATTTGTTGCTGCTGTGCGTTTGCCGGTAGCAGTCGTTGTCCTCGGTGTTGTGTGGCCCCCCTGACGTCATCCCCCACGCCTTACGTCCTGTACCTCGAAGACGTCCTGACAATCCAGAACAAAAGAACCTACTTCGAATACAATATCCCGTCCATCTAGACATCCAAACCAAACGTACCATACATAGGAGCGTTCAATGCATACTACGACGATGGTGCGGGAAAGCGGGAAAAACAAGAGATGGGATACACTATTCCATATTCCGGGGGGGCTTCTTTCTTCTTTCTTCGTTTGAACTCCTTCCAACGCACCATACACGTCGTGTTTGCTGCTCTCTCTATCTAGCGCCTCCGTGTCTCTCCAGCCAAATCAACAGCAGCAACAATGGCAGAAGAACAAAGGCGACATCGATAATAAAGCAGGACATCTTCTCTCTTTCTCTCTCTCTCTCTCTCTCTCTCTCTCTCTCTCTCTCTCTCTCTCTCTCTCTCTCTCTCTCTCTCTCTCTCTCTCTCTCTCTCTCACCAGCAGGAACTTCTTGTCCGTGGGGTTGGGGTTGGGGTGCGTCGCCTTCCACGCCGAGATCTCGCGGGCAACAGCCGCCTGGCGAAAAAAAAAAAAAAATGCAACGATAATTGAGGGGAAAATACTTGGTCGTGGGTTCCACATCGCGGGCCGATACAAACATACAAGTATATACAGCCATGCCCAAGAAAACAAGAGCAGCTGCACCTTTGGGCCATGGGCGGTAAGAGGGTGTATTAGGAAGGGACATGTTGCGGTTTCAAAGGTCGCGCGCAGGCAGTTGACGTCAAACCGAAGGCGCGTATCACCATCATCAGCAAGAGGGGAGGGGAAGGATTATCAGCAAGATGGGAGGGGAAGGATCATCAGCAAGAGGGGAGGGGAAGGATCAACAGCATCGGAAAACCTTGTGATATTGAAAAAAGTAGACAACATCTCCTGTTCGCAACCCTACCACGAGCATGTCAAGAGGAAAGGCCGACGTCACCTCGAGCATTGTTGCCAGATAACAGCAACAACAAATCCCTTTCTAGAAATGCTTGCACGATCATCTACAGCAGGCGACACAGCAACAGTTCGATCATTACCACATCGCAACGCGAACGAGCATTGATTGCCCATGTACAGCAGCGACAGCAAGCGCTCATTACCACATTGCAACGCGAACGAGCATTGATTGCCGGTGTGCACAGCAGTGACAGCAAAAGCTCGCAAGCTCATTACCACAAGGCAACGCTCGCACGATCATTCGTTCCCTACGTACAGCGGTGACAGCCAAGCACGACACGGACGGACTCACCTCCGCTGCGAGGTGCTTCTTGTCCCAATCCTTGCGCCGCTCGGCCTTGACCCGCGTCACCAGCAGCTTCGGGAACAGCCCGTAGGCGCGCTTGATGCCCACGCGCCATTCCCCGCTGGGGTTGGTCCACTTGGGGTTGAGGCGGAGGGTCCTTTGTCGCACGCCGCCACCAGCACCAACAACGACAACCACAAATTAAGAAATAAACAGAGCACGAGCTGAACATTGAAACGGTATGTAGATAGCAACTGGATTTCTCCTCATGTGCTAGCGTTTCCGTCTTGACTCCGGAGAATCGCCTAGCCTCTCCTATGACTCTCCCTCGCGGGGTTCGAGATCATGGCCTTTCGAATCGTTTTCATTGTTTATCCGCACCGAGACTGATATATTTTCATTGGTCAGTCGGTTGGCGCGTTCGATCTCAAAAAACACAACAATCACAAAAGCTGAGACTGACATGGTTTCATTGGTCAGCCTGTTTGGCGCCGCCATTGCCAACATAACACACACTGAGACTGACGTACTCCCATTGGCCAGCCGGTCGCCGCGGTCGACGCAAACAAAAGAACAACACGCGCGCGCGCGCGCGCACTGAGACGGGCGTCGTTTCATTGGTCAGCAGGCTACATCGCGCGGTTGATGCCAACACACACAAACACACACACACACACACACACACACACACACGCCGTACCTGCCAGAGAGCCCCTTGATCTCGCGGACGCCGTCGGCAGCGGTAGTCACGGAGCCCCCCTTGAGCACGGTGGAGGTGTCCACGTCCCCGGATCCCGTGCAGTCGACGATGTCGAGCACCTTGGGGCTACCGTCCGGGCACACCTAATAGCGTTGGTTGTTCATTGGTGTTGTCTCGTAAATCTTATTCTCCGAAAACGACTAAATGGCTGATCAAATACATGTGACGGTTTGTCAACGACGAGAACAGCGATGGGGGTTGTAGTAGCCGCATAAAGGGAAGGGTGTCTGTTCGAAGCGCTTTGCGGCCACGAGAACTTGGACTGACAAACGCAACGGCCGCGGGACAGACGCAAGATGAGGTGTGCATGCGATTCCGTTTCGGGGGTGAGTATCGCAGAAAGCAATAACTAACTAACGGGAATTACCCTGCGAAAGAGACAAGTTTTGTTCTTGAAAAAGGTGTTCGTGTTGCTACAATTCTCTCCTAACTTGTGTCCGACAATTTTGGCTGCCGTGAATGGGACACGAGATGCATGGATTCACAGACAGAATCTCGATTTTTCCCTTCTCTCGCACCCCAATCTACTTGAGAGAGGCATCCCATCCCACGTGGTGCGAGTTGTGCCTTCATTTCTATCGCCATGTACTGTCCACCGTTGTCGCGGTGATCGTGTAGAGAGAAGGTATGGAAACCAACAACCACCCGGCAATGCAATGCAGGGGATGCGTGCAGAGCGTCTTCAGCTTCTTTGGGCCTCGCACGGCCACTTCCTCTTGTGATATATATTTTGTTCTCGACTCGGCTTTTTCGGGTTGGAGCAAAGCAACGTGATGGGGTGTGCACCGAACTTTTGGCCAACGGTAGTCATGAATGTAGAGAAGATATACGGAGACTTGGGGCTCTGTGGATAAGATTTAGGGTATGCATGTATTGCATGGATGATACATGGGATCCTTTGCGTTGGGCTTCTGTATGTCAACTCTCTCAGGATCCAATCAAATACTCTTGCGTGTGAACACTGAAGCTTAAGCTTGCCATCAGCTCTTCTGTCCGCACCTTGTTTCGCTGTGGGGTTCACACGAGCAGCCAACAAAAACAACCACGTGACCTCCACCTCCTTGGGCAGCCACATGCGGGACTTTCAACCGAGGAAACTACTTTTACCCCTGTGGCTCAGGGGGTTCATCACCTCTCCCTGTTGCCCCCCCCCCCCCCCCCTCATTTCGGTGAAAGTGAGCCCGATGATCCCCCCGCCTGTGAGGTTCGAGGATGGATGGGTCGAGTCAGGGTAGGCTCTTGTGACATGGAGCTGATAAAACTACTGCTGTATAGGGCATAGTGGTTGTCCATGCGGTCTATCCTACGGGCTCCGGGCTTCGGTCCAAGCGTTCACACCCTAAACAAGTAGGATGCCCGCTGAACACTGGATTCTGAGCCGGAAAAAAGGTGGCGAAATACACATACTTGTACAACATGCCGCGAAAAAGCAGCGAAATAGAGCATCTGAGTTGGTACCAGTACACACGGTATCAATTGGTTCCCGCTTTCGTTTCGGTCTTCTTCTACGGATACCAGTACGTACGCAGAAGTACAATAGCTTCGGGTTGTGTAAGGTGGGGTAGGGTGCGGCTTGTACGTTGCGTGTTTGGTTGAGTGTACGGTTGACAACTTCTATACCAATAAAATTATGAAAACAACTGGCATCCCGCGTGAACCGCGACCATCCAATCGTACATAAAATGGCCTTGTCTCTGCTTGCGTGTGAAGCACCAAGATTGAACCAGGGGGGTGTACCTCTTTCTCTTCTGGCCCGTGATGCTGACTCCTAGTCTCAGCTGTTACCTCGCATAGCGCGCAGAGGGAGCGGAGGACTCCAGAATATCTGTCGTTGATTTATCTTGACATGCGGACCCCTCGGGGCCAGTTTATTTGAATGTACCTTTTTAGGGTAAGTTAGCCTATGACCACGGGAATCGACCGCGTCAAGCGTCGGATCAGTACGGACATCTGCAGGTACTGGACAGAGAGAGATCGGAACGGGTTTTTTATGTGAACACAACAACAACAACAACAAAGGAGTGGCTCCCCGCTGAGTCCGTCCCCACGTGTAAAAGGTACGCACATGTACCTCATTCCGGCAGCTGAAAAGAAGTCAATCTTGGATTTGGGGGTCGGAGAGATCGCACCAGGTGCGATCTCACCGACCCCGGTGCGTAAATCGAATGAAACGTTTTTTCTCGGGTTTTCTATCGCACCCCGGTGCCATCTCTCCGACCGGTGCCATCTCTCCGGCCCGTGCCAACTCTCCGACTCTTACGGTATGTTTGCCTGAGGTGATCTGAAGGACATACAAGTAGGTGATCGGGGGTATGTTTGCCTGTGAGGTGATCCGAAGGACAGGGTGGTCGGGGTTGTGTTTGCTCTGAGGTATGTTTGCTCCATACATATGTATTCTGTGGCAGGACGGAGACGGAGCGGGCGCCCACCAATGTTTCACCCTACAATGAACCAATCAATTGATGCCCGCACCGTTTTTGGCCAGTCAGAGACAAGCACCGTGTAACATCGAGTGCACCCGCAGATGATCAGGGGTAGATTCGGTGATTGTCAATTGAATTGCAATGATGGCTTTGGTTGGTTGTTCTTTTTCACTGTATGTCCACGGACGCATTCTGGCAGCACTTCAGACAGCAGTTGCGCGCCCCGAACTTGTACCATGCCTACCATGGTGTTATTGTACAGGCAGCACTCCAGACAGCTGTACGCTGTAGTCGACATTCATTTTGGTGAAGTGTACAAATAGGACGGGGGGGGTGATGCTGCTGTAGTCGAATGTAGTGTGTGGACGGGTAGTTCAGTTTTTGGGCACGCAAACGTTCTGCAGGGATGTAGGTGTACCTCTTCGGGCCTGTGTACCCTTTTCTTGCTAGTTTGCGTGCTCTTTGGATCTTCTCGTGGCTCTATAATAGCATTCTTGTGACCACGGACCGCGTCTTTGCTAGATTTTGGGATAATAAGCAACTGACACGACTTTAATGTAAAGACAACAACAACAACCCGCAGGCACCAGCAGCTGCCACAGCAGCAGCAGCAGCAGCAGCAGCAGCAGCAGCAGCAGCAGCAGCAGACACCAGAAGTGAAGAGCGGTGTTCACCACACGAGCAACCACCATGCACGAAGTGAAAATCCGCATTGAAATCGCTATTTAGCATTGCATTGTATGTGTAACCTTTTCCGACGACGAACGCAAAAATGGCCCGTTTTCCACCTTCAAAAGCTTGTGGTGTCAAAAGGCCTTGCACGCACGAAAAGCAGCAGGCTGCGAATACCGGCACCGAAGTGCCGAAACACCTCTGCGAAGAGTGGAGTGTGCGTTGTGCGGTGTGTCGCGTGCTTTTGATCTTTCAATCCCTCTTGGGTGCGCTGTGCGGATTTGGAACAACGTGCAGGAGACCGCTGGTTGTTTTGAAACCTGGCGCTGAGGACTCGGGACGAAGGAACAGACAGCTAATAATGGTTGGAATGCAAGCGCTGGCCAGTGCCCCAATAATCTGAGGACACATGCATTATGCACACGGAGTGCATATCGTCATGTTTTCATTGCCGATGTCAAGTCAAATAGCATGATGCCATGATGTCCCTGTCAGCAAGCAGCTCGATCATCCTCAAAAATGGGGCGGAAAACTCAGGAGCAAATACAACAAGTACGCATCGCACTTTGGTTGACGACTGCTGCTGCTGTGGCGTGTGGTGCGGCTTCTGTCATATTAGCCCGCAATTCCGCAGCAGCAGCAATGAATGCAATGCGGCGTGTCCACAAACACAGAGCACTAGAACAAGGCACACGCATACGCCGAAGCGCGCACCTGAAGCCCGCTGGCGGCCGGGTCGACGCCTGTGTCGAAGATAGCCACCTTCACGCCCCTGCCATCGAGCTGCGGGTTCGCCTTGAGAAACTCCCAAGCCTCCGTCTCCTGCTTGGGAAGCAGGCCAAGCACGGGGAAGGTGCCATCACCACCGCTGTTGCTCGTTGCAGGTGTCGACGCCATGGGTGTGAGTGCTGTGTGTTTGCACCTTTGTTCCTCTCTCCCAGCAGCAGCAGGTCTGGCAGGATCCAGTCACACAACGCAAAAAAGCACTGAGCAACAAACGGGAGAAAAGTGGATCAAAAGGTGGTCAGGGGCACAGGAAAGAAGCGCATACCTACACGATTCCGCGGGGCCGCCACAACCTCCCGCACAGCGGTGGGTTGGCCACTTCACGACGACCATTTCCCACGCTCATCACGCCACCTCCATGTCGGCGACGTTATTCTCAAGAGAGGTTGTGTTCGAGGGGGTGTGCTGGCCTGAAGGACATGGTGCTCCCTCGGCAGGCGGAAAGGATGACGTGAGTTTAACACCAACTACTGTAAGAACTTTGAATGCCGCACACAGCAGCAGTCTACAATACCGATGTTGCGCCGCACTTTTCATCGATGGCCGATCCGCTCAAAATCTGGTTTGTTGCGGCAGGCTCTTACAGTGCGTTGACTGAACTGCTGTACTCGTGGCATCTGCTAGTGTGTACGATTCCTTTTCGGTGGAGTCACAGGCGGGTAAGCACATACGCGTTGTTGCTCGGAATTTATCTGCAATTTTTTTACGCTCGCCATCTCTCCTAATGGGCAACGGCAGCAATGTAAACTCTGCTGGACTTCGCATTCGGTCGTACTGCTGTAGGACACCCGATGTAGCAGTAAATTAACTCCACGTCGCACGACAGTCCACATTCCTAACCCTGTCAAGCGGAGACAGAGAGAGACAGAGATAGGGCGCTGTAGGGCAATGTTTGAAATGCTCGTGGGAAAAATGTGAACATGTCCCAACACACCCGCAGGTCCTGATCGGAGAGTCCTTAGTCCGGGGGATGGACACCGCCTTTCGGGGCTACTTTCCTCCCCTCAAGTACAGGGCCTCAGACCAAACCAGGTGCGTGCCAGCTTGTGTCTTCGCTTCAGTAGCACCGCTCTTAGCCGACCGACCAACCGACCGACACGACAATGAGGGGGGGAGGGCGAAGGATGAGTTTTGGTAGGTCCGAGGGGCCCCTCAGGGTGGTCCACGGATGGAGCTGGCAAGTCTCTCTCTCTCTCTCTCTCTCTCTCTCTCTCTCTCTCTCTCTCTCTCTCTCTCTCTCTCTCTCTCTCTCTCTCTCTCTCTCTGTACGTGCTTGCCGAATGTGCTTTTTTGGCTGCGCTGCGAATCTTGAGAGCCAAGTTCTCTCCTAAGTGTGCCTGCTGCATGCAAAGGTGACTTTCGAGGTATTGGCGTTCCTGACACTCGAACCTGATATTGTACTGCTGTACCTCGTGTTGCACGTAGCCTGTTGCCACGAGGGTGTATTCTCGACACACCCAAGCTCAACTCACGGACGGACGCCTGCAAGAGCTGGCTGTGGAGGGGTCTTCTCTATACGCCGTCATCCATGGAAGGGCTCGCTTTTTTTGTTGATCAAGCGAAGGTCGATGAGTAACTGAACTACCGAGCGTGTAGGCTATAGGGAACCGTAAACGATTTCTTGTTCTCCTGTGCTACACCGGGCCATAGACTGCTCTTCCAGAAGACCGCACCAATCAGAACTACAACAGTCCGCGAGAGACGGGTCAAAGAATGAAAAAGGCCAACTTTTGCAGAAAAAAGCGTTCAACCTACGATAACAATACGTAGGCTGGACAAGACCGAACGAGCCCTTCCTTGTCGTGTTCTTTGTATGCATAGGAATCTCCGTGGCTTCGTCCGGAACCTCTTGTACGACGACGAGGGCCTGGCTAACTTTGCCGATGGTGGAGATGAGGAGATGACAAGGTGAGAACAGCAGCTCAAGTCTTCTTGGCGCTTGTTTGCTAGAGCACTTTGTGAGCTCGTTGTTTTTGGCACAACATGTGTCACCATAGAAGTTGTCTTTCGCAAAACATGCATCACGACATAGTATAGGGTTTCCGTGTGTTTTCATGCTTCCTAATCAAGCCTCCCATTCAGATACGTACGGCACGCCTCCAGAACTTCGTAGCTTATTTGAGTGAGGCTCGTACAATGTCGAAAGACGGCCACGACGCAAAGTTTGTGTATCCTCAAGAAGATAGCGATCAGATCTCGACCGGGGGTGATCGAGATCGCGATACACAACGCACAAGTCGTTCTTCAGCCCTCGGGCGTGTTGCATCCAGTCTGGCCCCTCTACAAGTATCTCCTTTTCGCCCTTCCCTTCGACTGATGCCTCTTCTTGGCTTTGCTCTCTCGCTCTAATTACCATGTCGCACGCAGGCTAGGCGAAGCCCTGAGGGCTCTCGACACCTTCCGCACGGAAAGCTCGCACTACTCTTGGGAGGAGTTCCTATCCGTGCTCGGGCGGGAAGTGGGCGGTAGGGGGGCAGGCGGGGCTGTCTACGCGAAAGGTCTGCGGGTGGACGGACGCGCAAGAACCCGTCTTTCGTGGTTGTGGGGGGGAGGCGGCTAGGTGGTTGCAACGAGTATCTTCGTTTAGGTTTTCTGCCGGCTGTGTTTGTTGTTGGTGTGATGTTGGTTGTTGATGCCACAACCTTCGTCGTCGTCGTCGTCGTCGTTGTCGTTTTTTTTACTGTGTCGGCGTTTCTCTTACGTGGAAAACCCGTTCTGGCTTTTGTGATCTCTTACAGGTGGCCTTATGACCTCTTTAACCGGTGTTGTTTGCGTCTGTTGTTTTGTTTTGTGCAGGCCGTGGCTTCGTCGTGCCGGGGGAGGGTCATGGAAAGTCTCTCGAGGAGCAGCGTGCGTCCTTCATCGACCAGGTATGGGCTGTGAAGCGTCGCACAGCAACTGTATGTCCCCCCGTCGGGACTTGGTCGCTATGCGTACAAGAGCTGTGTGGTTTTTGTTCCGTGAATGTTTTTGGTGTTTGCAAACGCTCGGATGGTGCTCCGTCGTTTTCTTACCGCAGTGGCTGCTGCTGCTGCTGATGCTGCTGCTGCTCTTCAGTGTTGTCGCTGTCGTTTATTGTTGCTGATGGTGGCGTGTCCCTCGTTCGGCGCCGTTTGAAATCGCAGTAGCGTATTATCCAGCCCAGACTCCGTTTTGTTCGGCACAGCCTTCCGTACGAGGTAGCTCTCCTCTGTAGCGACTGGCGAACACGAACCCAATGGCCATGTAACGAGACAACCAACGTGTTCACAATCCCCGAATTCTGCTTCGTGCACCACGCCCTGACAGTCTCCCAAAAGGTGTATCTCGCCAGCATTCGTGTGCGCTGATGTCTCTGTCTGGCGGTACCTGTTATCTCTGTGGCTGGCTTTTTTTTTTAAGCTTTGCCGTATTCAACACATTCTCCAATGAAGGAAAGCTGGATATATGTATCTTCGACGGGTCACTTTCAATGAAACCGTACTTTGTGTTGTCTTTTGGTTTTGATGTGTGTATATTTCGGTTCCAAGAGGAGGCGGACGAAGCCGAAGGCGTTGTTGTTCTTACAATTTTGTTTTTTTGTTCCGTCTGACGTGGGGTCTGTTCGATGACGCGCGTGTTCCTCGTCCGTTTTGTATGTTTTGTTCACTCGTTCGTGCTGTCGCCGCAAGGCCAAGAGAGAGCTGGACGCGATCGCCCACGCGGAGGGCGGCACACGAGAGGATTTATTGCGGAAGCTCCGAAAGGTTCGCCCTGGTTGGAACGCCCACCCACGGCAGTGATATCGGCATTTTTTTTAAGGAGGCGTTTCGCGGTTCACAGATTATGTACCTTCGTTCGCTCCTTTTGTCTGGTTTCGTACACGGGGTTAGCGGCCGCAGCGCTCTCACTCTCGCGTAGGACAGCGATCACAGTACATCCTTTCAAGTATCACATCACCATGGATTTTTTTGTTTTTCATTTGCACTTCGCGGACCCACCATGTTGGTCGCACTATATTTATTCAAGCGTGACGGCACCACGAATATTTTGCGCTTCGCCGTCCCCCCATGTTGGTCGCACTATGCTCATTCGTGACATCATCACCACGATTATTTTGCACTTCGCGGGCCCCCCATGTTGGTCACACTATCCTCATTCTTGACGTCATCACCACGATTTTTTTGCACTTGGCGGACCCCCCCCCCCCCA